TTGTCGCTTCGTTCCTTAAACAGCGTTACAGCGATAAAGATATGAAGGTAGATAAAGAAAAGTCAGCTCGATGTGAGACTGATGGTACAGATGCCTTCATGCCTCTGTGTCAGCACAGGAATCCTCAGATTTTCTTGGCACAGACAAATGGTCTTTTATAGGAGCACTGTACGTCATCCCAGCACTTTTCAGCTGCAAGTACAAAATAGGAATCAGTAAATGCAACACAAACCAAAACCTCAAGTTGATGTTTCCAGTTTATCTTGATGGACAGTCAGGTGAAACCACGCTGTGGTCACTGATAGATAGATACAGATTATCTGATTCAGAAATAGCTTTTTTTCCTATAGAGAAGTGAGAAAGTCTGTTACACTGCTATATGCTCTCTCCGATATTCATCATTTCCAACTTTTTAAATAAAATGTAAATTGATCTCTCCTCTTTAAACCCTATCTCATTTTACCTCCATGATTCATTTGCAAGCAACTCTGCCTGCCACCCAGGTTATTAGGCTCTCCAGCACACCAGTTCATGTAGTTGAAAGGTGTACCATCGCTCCAGAACCACTGCTTCTCCTAGGAGACAATACAGATTTGAATATGATATATATATAGTATTGAAGGAACCTATGATATGTAAGTAAGTAAATTATAAGTGTGTGTATATAAATTAAAAGTAAGAATAGAAATAAAAACAAAAACTATACAAAAACAGTTAAGGTCAAAATAAGAAGGCAACCTCTACCTACGACCAGTCTAGTCTAACAGTGCAGTCTAAAGTGTCTGATCTGAAGCAACATACTGATTTTATTAGTGGCAATAAAGTCAGCAAAGTATGTAAGACCAATATGATACCATCATCTCCTATAACACTGCACACCAGAATAATATATTTTGTATTGTATTGTTGTTTGTATTAATATTCATATGGTATAAATGTACATGTAACAATAAAACATTATAACATTAACTAGTATAATGTATGGAATATAAAATACAATATAAGGTAAAAGGCAGTACAATTGTATAACATAATATGTAGTATAGTACAGCAATATTGTATAGAAATCGTATAGTAGTAGTAGTATACTATGATATTTAAGAACTAAAGTTTGTATTTGTTAGTTGTGGAATAATTGCAAGTTGTGCACTGATGAATAAAATACCTCTTGTGCGTCAGAGCCTCCGATCCAAGTTATTTTATGCTCATAACTGGCGCTCATTATCAGCCGCTGAATCTCATGGTACTCCTGAATGCTGTGTACAGATGCAAGGTTTCCACCCATGGACAGACAGTTTCTCTGCAGAGAGAGATAAATCAAATGACCATGTATATGCAGACAAAATAAACGTACTGTAGCAGCATTCTGCACTGAGTCATTACCTCAGCTTTGGCCCAAGTCATGGGTCTTGGAACGTAGTGGAAACAGCGACCGTTGAACTCAGACCATCTACCGGTACAGGATGTTGACCTCTTGACCAGGTGACTCTT